CAATTAAAATGTGTAACTGAACTAAAACTATCAAACAACATTAGCTCTCTTCCAACTGTCATAGCTGTAAAACTGATAATACAAACCTGATTGAATCAATTTCTTACATAGAGGCTGCATTAAGTTTTCCCAATTTCTTTAATACCTCGGAAAATAGTTTTATTGTAGATATTTCTTTCCTCATCTAGTCGACTATTTCAGTCATATTCAAAATTTATCTATTTGAATAAATTAAAATATTTACTCGGTAAACCAATTTGTCATAAAAAATGTAACAACCTGGCACACATATACAATGATTAGAGTTATTACACTGCATCAGCACGATATGATGGATAATAGATCATTATAACTATCACCGATAGTAACAAAAAAGACTAAACATTGCGAACATAATTCGAAAGGAAGAAATAAATTTATAATAGAGAAAATATGTTCCCGTAATTTGTGCGTAGTGATAGACGTAACCTTTCTACGACAACACTGTCGATTTCGTTCCGTTTTACCCAACGTCTTTAAGTAAAGGTTATGTTAATCGTGAGGGCGCATACCAAAAAGTCCTGATAAGACAGCTTGACTTAAGTTGACTAGACAATCATAAGCTAGATGAAACAGAAACTGATCTGTCAGTATTACATTTCTTAAACCTTTAAGACGTATAATAGTTCATATATACTTTGTAGTTTCACACCAAGGATTGACTTTTGCTATACAACTGTTAAAAACTCCATAGTGTTGAGTAGCTGTTTCGCGACAGTATGAGAATTCTAAGCGACGTATATACATGACTATATCAGAGATTGAATCTAGGAGATAAAGAAAAAGTTGATAGAACTTAAACCTTAGACCGCTGGATTACAATCTAATGGTTTACATTTCTAATCTCATCTGTCCAATGCCTCCTACTTTCCAGTGTTTGTCCAGATAAGTTTAATTTATGACGTAAAACATCACATTCAACAATATACACTGGCCTCTTTACTTGTCATGTTGTTGTCTCTAGTGAAACACTAAAACAATACAATAAAGATTTCAGTTTTAGGCATGGTTCTAGTAATTTTTTTGACTCACCACAGGTTTCCGCATATAAACTTTCAACAGATCCACCAAAAGGACCTGACACAGATATAAATCCCTTGATATATTTATGTTTCCATCTTTTATCTTGCAGTTTTAAAAAATACATTGAGTACAATGATCCTAAACTGTGGCCCAATAAGTAAACTGGACATTTTTCACTATTTTCATAGGTCTCTTCAACCAATTCCTTTAATTTGACGAAATATTTTGCGTTTTCATCTAAAAAAAGAACGGTGAAACTTTGTTTTTCATTCTATTTTAAAATATACTTGGCGCTTTGCGAAAATCATACGGTGCAGTACGTATTGTTTTATTTCGCACAAAAAATTTGTCCTCTGTTAAACTTTGAACAAGTGACTTCATATAACTTGTTAATGGATATTTTTCTTCAGATAAATATTCACTAGCCCAAGTATCACCCCAACCAGGGAATTCAACATTACACAACTCTCTGTCTCTCGTTTTTTTTGTCTTCGGATCATAAATTAATCTGTTTTATATAAATAGAAAATATTACATAATAATTTATTTTACCCCATATAAGTGAATAATTTTTCAGGGATCAAAAAATAAAGTAACTTAACCCAAAGTGTAAATGGTTTCGTATGTGATTGTTTGTCAGTTGGTTTACATAATGCTTGTGTTCCACCAATTCCATGTATTAGTATAAGAGGATATCGAATGTTTTCATCTCTCACTTTTTCCAAAGCTATACCTTTTAAATTATATGAAGATGATGTAAATAACCCATGTAATAAAACTAACTATTATAAGTTACAAAAATATAAACTAAATTTACCATTAGTTTAATAAATCTAATCATGTTAGTCACTATTTCAATGTCTATTCATAATTGTACATTGTTCTAGATCATATCGACAAAAGTAAAATTTCTTTGACTATTATTTAAACAATTAGAATCATTTATTATATACCTTAATTTTAATGTCAATCTTTTCAAATTATATCAGACTTGATTTGATTATGTAGGCGATTAAAGATTCAATGATGAATAGATAAACTCATATCATCATATTATTAACCAATCAAAAATAAATTTGTCAAATCTTACAATTAAATTAAAAATTGCCTTAAACTGTCATTATTATTATTATTATGTGAAATTAATGTAAACATACGAATCATTAGAAAGTTGATCTGACTAACAGATCATTGAATAGTATGAATTTTTTTATTTAGTATCTAATCAGATCAACATATAGGCTACTTAGCTTACTATAAATTCCATACATTGAGTAGTAATAATAAAACATGATTGAAATGAATAAAAATAGATTTATATTGATTGTTAAATACAGTTTTCTTTTTCTTTTTTCTTAATTGGTAATGAGACAGTTCTATTATAGTTAATGATAACCCTTGAATTAAAAAAATAAATACAAGTCATTCTTTTAAGACTAATATAATTGGGGTGGTAGAAAATGGAAAGTATATTTTTCATATATAATCTTGCTTCTTAGTATACTTATAATATAAGAGAAACACTTCCAACTGAACATAAGTATTTGTACGCTTTTTTATATTCTACTTAAATCTTACATCTATATTAAAATATTCTATAGTAATAGTTTAGAATATAAAAAACTGTTCAGTAAGGAAATTTTTCTTTTGTTTACCAAATTTGTACAATTGTAATTACGGTTGTTGTATATATAGTAGACTATAACAAAGTTAAAGGATCTTGAATCATTACCTAAATTACTACAACTTTGTCAATACTTCTTCTTCTTCAGCTATCAGGTTCAAGTTTTGTAATAGTTGAAGGTTTAATAATAAAGTCAAAATAATACATGGAAGTAAGATGTAAAAGATAGTTGCTTACATCAAGATTGTTAAAAAAACAGGAGAAAAAGCAGGTGTTTATAGCAACTTCTGAAATAATAATGGGGTTATAGCTTAATCTGAGGTTGTGTAAAAGATAAATAATGACGATGAGTCTCTATCCGTGACTACTTGTTCACTAGCTCCTTTTGAACAGACAACGTTGTCTTCAATAAGAGCGGTCTTTCCAAACTTATAAGTGATCAATACTCTTCTTCGTTATCCGAAAGCGAAGTGAAGATATTCAACAGCTTCACTTCATGGCACCTGCTCAGTTCATATCAGCCATACCATCTAGAATTAATACTCTAACTATTTGATAGCGCCAAGTAAACTGACTCTGAGAGAGTGTGTCTATATCATAAACATTAGCAACTTATTAGTTCAATCCTGATCTCTGTGTTTGAAAAATAAATATCTCATCTCTTATATCACTGTGATCCTAACTCACCAAATTTTTAAGTTGTCATTTCCATATCCTTGTTTCTAATTTCTCCATCAATCTGAGTGTACAAATTATACCAACAGCATTTTCATACGAATACTTACTGTGATGAACTGTGTTTTGAGAAACTCCCTCTAGAACTTCTTGAAACCTACGTTTTGTAGGGCCAGTGAAATGTCACTGAGCCCTAGCCAAATCATCCGGCAGTTGGATCACTGAATGTCGAACAGATCATCGCTCCCTGCCAAGGTCATGTACAAGCAACGCGCATTAGTTAATCATACGCCATGGACTGGCCCATGCGGCAGTGGTCTTACTTTCGCCTGTATCTACCTTAACTAATATATTTCTGTAATAACGTCCTTTGTGTTGTACAGTCTTCAAAGCATCTATAGTACCTTGTTACGTCAATGGGGGTAGTCCACGTAAGGTGCTGACCACGAGGTGTGACTTCGACATTAGCTAGTTTGTCACACCATTCATGTCTAACTAGAGTAGGCCTCCAATCATTTCGACATAGATCATCTACGTTGGTGATCTACAGTTTCTTACAGTTATTCATATTAAAAAAACTAATATGCTTTCTGTGAGCCACAAAGTGTCTACGATATATGTTTCTATCATGCTAACTGACAAATTAAAAAACACAGAAACACATGAAATCTGCTTCACCTCGTCCAAAAATATATTTTAGAATAATTTTCAAACAATAAGACATATTATTCAACTATGTCAATCGGTCTAGATATATAGTTTGTGACAACAGATGAATAAACAAAATGGTTTGTACGGATGATATAAAAAGCCATGTAGGCTTAACATAGTTCTAGATACCACAGATCACTTATCTTCTGCAGAAACGAGAAAACCGGTTGATAATAATTGAGAGACTCAATACGAATATCACCCTAAAGGTAACTTAAGAAGAAGGCGTTGACGTTTGTGGTGACAGTTTATTTGAATGTGGGGGTAGGTAGAGACAAAGGATATTACTTGTAAAACCGTCGAGAGCGTGATATGTGTGTTATGTGTTTAAGCTCGTTCGTTACCGAATTCTGTTTTGATTGAGTTTGGGATCTGTGGTTGTAAAGTTGTCACGCAAAAAGCGTTGTAATGTCCGAAATATCTGTGGCATATATTTTGGTGCATTTAGGGATAACAGATAATCATCCCAATAGACCACTGATGCAGTCTAGTCGCCTATAACACTTCTGAGGATACTACCAGTTGTAAGCCCGAGTAAAGAAGGAGATTTTGTCATGGGGTCTGGAATCCCATCCCGTAGAAAACAACCTTTCTAAAACAACTCTAAATAGAATAAACAGACTGTCTAATCGCAAAATAAACCCTCAAAGTAACTGGTATACATGTATACTGGGAAGTATCCGCCACTAAAATATCTGATAACTGTTAGCAAATATCTTTCAACTTCGGAGTTTAATGTTGTTCAAATTGTTATCCCCTCATCACTCCAATTTTTAATAGCTAACTGATTGAACTATCGATTTATAAAGTAATGTGGCATAAAGGATATTCTTCCATCCCTCATGAGCAAGAATTAAATGTAATTTCTACATAGCAATGTTTGATGTTTGGAGTCTGAATGACCTTCGGTTAATCCAAACTCTTGCATGATTTGAAGGTTAGTTGTCATGTCTGTGTACAGTATGAATAATGGATTGGTGAATTTCTGTAAAGTTAGATCTTTAAGTAAATTCATATCCTTCATGGTATCAAATATTGGTGCTTTTGTGTTGCTACTTCATCGTAATCTGTTTTTACCGCTCGCAGCAATTATTCTGATAGTCAAATCGTCATTATTGACAACCCTATACAGATCGACATAGGGTTGTGGAGATTGTTGTTTCGTCCCTTAGTACCACGAAATGTCCATGCACTGCTTACGGGTTTTTAATGGTGAACTTTTATTGGTTGGTTCATTCTCTCAGTTAAATCTTTTGTTTCAGTTATAAATGAACTGACTATAAGTAGTCCTACTCGCAATGAGTTTACATTGTAGCCTTCGTCGTTAGTAGGCTTTAATTTAAGAAAAAAACAGTGGAACTTACGACTTCCTGGAATTATTGTTCAGGCAAAACGCAAATTAAATATGCGATGTGCATTCAGAAGTTACATATGTAATAACGTGTAACTTCGTACATACGTACATCAGTTAGAGTTGCCATACCACATTAGCACAGAGGTGCATTTGTCGATTCAAATCCCATAGTGGTAGAAGTAGTAAAAGTATAAATAGTAATCGGAAAGATTAGGGTTTGAAGATGTTATTCTAGGAGTATAAGCCAGTGAAATAAATTTGGAAAGAGGAAATAAGGAACATGGAGAATTAAGAAGACTAGAATTAGAGAGAACACAATTTCTTCATACTGTTTCATTTAGCGTGCTGAGCACCGTCCATATGGGTGATGAAAATATTTTTATCCTCTGATTAAACAAAATGTAATGTAGTTTTTGCCTGTCAGGCTTCCGTGATGTCGAAGCTTCTCGATCGAATTGAGGATTTTTAAGCGAAATATTCCTTGGTTTTTAAGATGTGTTAGGTTTATGTCACCATGGTTTCAAAATATTAACTAGGATTCTGATGAAATTACTTAGCAAAAAAGTCACTAGCAATTGTTGAGCGTTTTTTGTTATTTTGGGTTCCTTTTCGAGTAAACAATAAGTCATTGTTTTCTGTATTGGGGAATTAAAACTCTTATTGTTCATATAGAGCCTACATTATGAACGATACAGGATGTGGTTATGGTTCTCCACAAATCCAACGGACGTATCTAATTCCACTTGCTGAACAGGTATATTTTGGCAAATCCTGGTTTATTGTCCTCTAGTTTGTAAAGATTTCTGTTGACTCTTCATCTGTGGATGAGTTTTCAGACTACATAATTCGAGACAAGTCAACAAGTTGTAATAGATCTAATATGAAGTTATGGCGCAAAGATGCTTGCAAAGGTATACGTTTATGCTTTTTTATCTTGCTTAGCATTAAGACTAGTGAATACCCGTACGATGGTCAGTCCTGTTTCAAAAGATTCACACATCATGGCTGACGAATCTGAGTTTCCTAAATTAGATATGTCAGTAGATTTAGACAGAAAGCTTCCACGTAAACGTTCCAGGACGAACTTGGAATCAACAAGTAAACATATGAATAGATTTGACTCCTACATTTAGCTGAATCTATTTCTGCTCGATGTGTTTCTTCCACGTTGTCGGATATCAGACACACAGTTCCAGCGGATTTACGAGTAAGTAGTTTATATTTTTCTACAAATATTCTAGAGGCAAATAAAAGGCTTTCTCGCATGCCACCTACTTTCCGATATAGGATTACCGGTTTGGCCATCCTTGTTGATTAATGGTCCCCCATTTTGTGGCAAAACTACATTGATTGAAGCAGCATGTGGAGTAATCACAAAATGTTTTCTTTTTGAATAATTGCAGACTCTAGGTTTGAAAATCATCACTGTTTCGGTTGGTACAGTACCATCATCTATACGTCCGTGGATGGATATATTCAATCAAGCTAAGGTACAATTAGTTCCCTAATTGAAATCCGATTAGAATTCCTCACCATGTATTTTACATTTGGATGATATTGAAAGTATGGAGAAACATTCCTCCCCTGTTGGGACGTTCCGTCTCACCTGCCTTCTAAAAAGTCAATTGCTTAAAGGTATCAATATACTGTGCTATTCCTTATATTGATTCATGCCCTTTAATTGTTCATAATGACCAACGGACCCTTGAATAGTATGAGTTACATGTATATAAGGTTTCCACTGCCGTTAAACCTATCTATGTGAGCTGTTTGTCACATGGTTCATCACGTCCACACTTTTGGGGTTGTAGTTAAGTATAAAGATATCTATTAATAGTGTCTGCAACGTGTTGTGTCCATCATTGGACAGCCAAATATTTGCAAAAAGGTAGGTAAGTGGTTGCTAGAAAAGCTCAGGAGAAAATTTCTTTCTGTTCTTCAGAATAGCCCTGATCACTGCGCCAAAATAAAAGTCCAATTACCTGTGAAACCAGATCCCGAACCCAAATTTTCCCCGAAAAGTCCTGCACCGTATTCTGTTCTTGAACTGGTCGATCAGGAACTTAAACGTTTACAGCAAGCTGGTATAATCCAACCAGTCAACTACTGTTCATGGACCGCAGCGGTCGTAGTGCTTAAGAAGGCCAATCAAGCTATACACATGTGTCAGTATTCGTTACCAGTTCCTGATGACCAGTTTGTTATGCATAAACGGTGAAACATGTTTCTCGAAAATAGACTCTTCTGACGCCTGTCTGAAAGGAGGAGTAAGTGATGATTGTATAGAGCTTTCGATTATCAACAATCATCGCGGGCTATTTCAATATACCCGCCTACAATTTGGTATTATGATCGCACCTGCCATCTTTCAGCAAACAATGGATACAATGTAAACAGGTTTACCTGGAACAGCGGCTTATCTAGGTGACATTGATATGGGTTCAACTGACAGTGAACTATCAAATCGACTGCATCAAGTTTATAACCGAGTGATGGGGTATTGACCTCAACTACATGAAGAAACACACATCAACCTCAGCTTGGAAATTGCTGTTGCATCTGATACTTCTAGTCGTGAAGTTGGGGTAGTGATACCTCACGTGTTTTCAGACAAATCAGATAAAACAATTACTCATGCTGCTAGATCACTCACCACAGCCGAGTGGAACTACAGCCAAATTGAAAAGGAAGCCCTTAAAGTCATATCCGCTATTAACAGATTCCACAAAACGCTCTGCAGCCGTAAGTTTACTGTACTGACGGATCAAAAACCTTTAATTTCAACTTTTGTTTCTAAGAAAGGAATTCTTGTCTATACGACTAGCAGATTACTGCACGGGTCGAAAATGCTCCTGAGCTATGACTTTAATATCAAGTATCAGTTAACAAATACCAGTCAGTCAGTCAGTCACAACGTAGAACCTGTACGTATATACACCAGTTTAAGTTGCCATACCCATTGTTATAGAAAGATGAAGTTATCAGGCCGAATTCCAGAGTAGTAGAGTTATCAACAGTATTACCAATAATAGGAAAGATTGGGTATCGAAGATGCGACTCGGAAACAAAATATAAGTTAACGAAATAAAAACAAAAAAGAATTCGAAGGATTTAAAATCTCAGGATTTGGAGAAGACAAAGTATGAATGCACCTGTGCCATTGCAAACGATTTTGATCCATTTCATTAAAACTGTTGGTAACGATAATCACGCGAATCCCAACCAGGCAGTCTGTACCTATTAATATGGCCTAATATAATTGTCAGTGACTTCATGAACTGATGCCATGTTCTGGTTTGACTGTACCTAACTTTCTTCCAGCCTACTCTTGCTCCAGAAAACATTGCCCGTCGAGTTAGACTGTGGTTGGGCATACGTAACACATCTTAACCATCTCAATCGATAAAGATTTACTACCTCGCCAATCGATTTGCCATCCTTACTTAGAACCCTTTTGCTAACACAGGGATTGCTTACTAGTTGGTCCCAAAATACATGAGTAATGCTTCGAAGAATCTCCGAAGGTCGCCCATTCTTAATGACTATGTTCCACACCCATAAATAGAACGGACTGCTGCACAGCAAACTCTTCCTTTATCTGGTAGACAGATTATGAATACACTGGTCTTGAGTGCTGTTAGAGGTATGAGGGCGGTTATCAATTCCCGGTTGCCCACACCGTGGAGGGGTTCTTCCGGAGGTACCTGAAGACGGAATTGAATTAGAAGTAGTTTTAATGACCTGGGAGCGTGACCGCAATGCCCAAGGGACAACTGCTTGAGGTCGGCCACACACGACCTTTTTGTGGGTAATCTTCGTGTTAGCTCCGTACTTGTTGAGACCTTACTGCCGGAGACGGATATCCGTGGGATAAGGAGAGGTGGGCATTTTTAGGGTCGACTTTTCCCAACCCCACCCCTCCTTGCGGAAAGGCAGCATCGCTTTCATGCTGGTTGTCTGAAGGAAACACCTTACTGCTGTCACACCTCTGTACAGTCAACAGTACGACTTCGCCTTCGGACCTTGGGTTTGTTGCTTTTAGTCTTACCGCTCTTCGACCGACCTGTCTGATATGGTAGGACCTTGAGGAACGGTTGTTCCAGCCAGTATAGCTCGGTTGCTTCATCACGATAGGCAAGCCCGACCACCACGTCAAGGTAGCAACAACTGTCGGGTCCTGTGACAACCATAGAGGGGTTAGTTTAACAAATATAGTATCTAAAATACTAGCCTCGATAATTATCAGACGCCTAACTAAGACTCGTGAACTGCAAACACGAGAGAACCAAGCTGGCTTCAGACCTGGTCGTGGCTGCATCGACCACATATTCACCATTCGTCAGATTCTAGAACACAGGCATACTTATCGGCGTCCGACAATGGTGGTCTTTCTTGACTTAAAAGCAGCATTTGACTCTGTAGACCGCGAGATTCTGTGGCAGTGTCTGTCATTGAAAGGCGTACCCCAGAAGTACATAAACCTGGTGAAGGCTCTTTATTCGAACACTACCAGTCGAGTCAGAGCTTATGGCGAACTGTCATCTACTTTTGCAACCTCAAGTGGTGTCCGTCAAGGCTGTCCACTTTCCCCATTTTTGTTTAACTTCATCATAGATCTACTGATGGAAATAACATTCTCGTCGACTGAATTCTCGGGTATTGATCTCCTTCCAGGAGGTCCACTTATCGACTTAGAATACGCAGATGACATAGTCCTGTTTGGTGAAGACGCTGACAAAATGCAGTCTTCTGGTAGCACTGAGCAACAAGGCCAGAATGTTTGGAATGCGCTTTTCTCCCTCTAAATGCAAGTTGTTGCTTCAGGACTGGTCTGCGTCAACACCTGAACTAAGGATAGGGAGCGAAGTAGTCGAACACGTTGACAACTTCACTTATCTTGGAAGTCTCATCAGCCCTATTGGGCTGGTGTCTGACGAAATCTCAGCACAGATTCGATAAGCTCGTTTAGCTTTTGCCAACTTACGTCATCTTTGGCGAAGGCGAGTTATCCGTCTATCAATAAAAGGGCGAGTATACTGCGCGGCAATCCGTTCTGTTTTAATTTACGGCAGCGAAACATGGCCATTAAGAGTAGAAGATACTCGTAAGCTATTAGTATTTGACCACAGATGCCTTAGAAATATTCCTGGTGTCTGTTGGGATCACCGGGTAAGTAATAGTGAGGTTAGACGCAGGGTATTAGGGAATGATGGTAAATCAGTTGATGAGGTTATGAACCTTCATCGACTGAGATGGTTGGGCCACGTGTTACGTATGCCTGAACACCGATTACCACGATGTGCAATGCTAACCGTGTTCGGGATGGTTGGAAGAAAGTTAGGGCATCAGTGCTTGGAGACTCTTGGTGACATGGCTCAGAATCGATCACAATGGCGTCGGTGTATACACCCTGTCTTCCCTTAAACTAAGAGAATAAAGTCGCTCCATATCTTTCTTTCTACTAACTAATTCTTTCTTCCTGTACTATATCCTTATTGCAATCATTCTTTTGTATATTACCACTTCTGAATTAACTACTTTTATGAATTTCGTGTTCATCTTGTTGTATTAATGAGGTATGGCAACTTGGACCGATGCATATATGTGCCTGGTCCTCCTACGTTGTAGCTTACTGACTGACTTACTCTCAGATTTTTTTTATATGACTGATAAAATAACAATTAAAATGAAATGTAATATCAGCAGGTAGTAGACTTGGATAAGACTGAAAGGCATGATTTTGGATAGCTTCGTATAAAATCCATCTTTAACTTCATCTGAATTGCATTTGGTGGGAGCGTAGGCAAGGAAGGACAAGAAATAGGCAACGGAGTGTGTCCCTGTTTTACTGTCTCGTTTCGTCGAACAGCAAACAAGCAACTGTCTATTGGAATCCAGTCTAACAGGAACTGTTCTGCCTCAAGATTTCATGTTTTACCTACATCAGCGAGGAGTAGCAGTGGGGTCTTCAGATACTCGAAGGGTAAATCGTGTCGGTTCTTTATATTGACGAGGTGAAGTTAAGTGAATGACCATACCTCGATCTTGTACGCGCGTTTCGGAAACTCAGCATACATAAATGGCTCGAGATTCTAGATTCCTAGCTAAAAAGGCTTGCTGTCTTATCTGACACAAGGTTCGAACATGAATAGCTCCAACATGTTTAGAGTGGAGTTACTGGAGACCAGAAATAATATTTCGCGAACCCAAATCACTAGCATTGGTTGCGGGTTGTAATAAAGATAGATGAGAAGAATTAGTTGTGGAGGTGAAAGAATGATTTAGAGGTGAGTGATGAATTCGATCGTCAATCAGATGATCTCAAATGCTGATAGAGATATGAATGAGAATTTCTCTTCCCGATTGCCAACGCCACAGAAGGATGTGTTCTTGGGGGACCTAAAAAGAAGTTGGATCGGTTGTGGTCTTAGAGACCTGGGAGCGTGACTACAGGACCCAAGGGACAACTGCTTGGGACCGCGCACAGCCTTTTCATGAAAAGATTTTGACTCCACACTTCAAAAAGCCCTACCGCCGCAGACGGAAATGCGTGGAGTAAGGTGAGGTGTAATATTTTTAGGGTTGGCCCTTTCCAACTTCTTTCTGTTGTGAGAAGGCAGCATCGCTGCAGATGCTGGTTGTTTAGGAGGAACACCTTACTGTTGTCACACCTCTCTACAGTCATCGGTACGACTTCGCCCTCGGGCCTCAAGTTGCTGAGTTTAGTATTAACGTTCTCCAACTGACCTATTTGGCATGGTAGGACTTGAAGGAACATGTGTTCTGGCCAATCTAACTCGGTTGAGTCGTCACAATAGGCTAGCCTGAGCACCACGTCAAGGTAGCAGCTACCGTCGAGACAAATATCATCGGTCAGTCCGATGTCCTCTCGCAGTTCACTGGCCCCCGAATGCCCTGGTACGGCCGAGAGTGGGGTGAGTCCGCTCTCCCTCTCGAAATACTCTCACACGGCCGCGCGTATACAGCCTCTGCCAGGGAAGTCCTACTCATTGCCTTCTCGTGGCGGGGGTGTTGTTTACGAAAATGAGAGGACGAAAAGCGAATGTCCGGCGCTTTAACCGGATCACAAACCAATGGTGCACATGGGCTCCAGTATCCTGCGGGAACAAATGGCGTATGAACCAATCTTTGGTCACCGGCTACCATGGGATTGCATCTCCTTACGATGCTCCACTGCCTTGTGGGATAGACCTTTAGGTCAAAGGCTCGGGGAGTGGCCCCCTAAGATAACCACCTGCTTCGGTTTGGGCACCCGGGCAGTATCACAGCCCACACACAAACGATGAACTCTATGTCTATGGCAACTACTTTTCTCGCTCCGCAAAGCTTGCGTAAGGACCGAGAAGCCTGGTGGTCGAAGCGTGCTAATGAGCTGGAAGCAGCAGCTGCATCTGGTAACTACCGGAAGGTCTTCCAGCTCATCCGAGCCACTGGCAGCAAGAAGTCTGGTGTGAGTGAAACAATCTGCGAGGATGATGGGATGCCAATCACTAACATCCATCGACGTCTTGGACGGTGGGCAGAATTTTTCGAAGGGCAGTTCAACTGGCCTGCTGCTCCGGCAACATCGGTCAGACTGTCCTGCCCTCCATGGCCGGTGACGACTGATCCACCAAATGAGGAGGAAGTCCGCAAGGAACTCCAACTCCTGAAACGTTACAAATCACCTGGCCCAGATGACTTACCTCCGGCTCTTTTTAAAGATGGTGGTGACTTTCTGACTAAGCAACTGACGACGTTGTTTACAAAGGTATGGGAGCTAGAGAGGGTACCAACGTCATGGAATGAGTCGATAGTTGTCCCTATCTTTAAAAAGAGTTCACGTCGTTCCTGTAACAACTATCGGGGGATAAGTCTACTTCCGATTGCGTCCAAGCTATTGGCTTCGTCATACTTCGTAGGTTGTTCAAAACTCGAAAAAGATTGACTCGCGAGGAGCAGGCTGGGTTTCGTTCTGGTCGAGGATGTTCTGACCATATCTTCACCCTCCGCCAAATGTTAGAACACCGTCATATGTATCAAAGGCCAACAATCGTAGTGTTTCTTGATATTAGGGCCGCCTTCGATTCGTTGGACATAACTGTTCTCTGGGACTGTCTATTGAAGAAGGGTGTGCCTGAAAAGTTTATTGACATCTTAAAGGCCTTATATACAAACACCTCGGGTAGAGTGAGGGCATACAACCACCTCTCTCCATTGTTCCATTCGAGCAGTGGGGTTAGGCAGGGTTGCCCAATCTCACCATTCCTCTTCAACTTTGCCATCAATGACATTCTGGAAACAGCTCTGATGGATGTAAGTAATGATGGTGTGGATCTGTTGCCTGGAGAATGACTTATCGACCTTCAGTACGCGGATGATATTCTATTATTGTGCGAAAATACCCAAGGCATGCAATCCGCACTTAATCAGTTGGCAATCAGTGTCCGTAGATATGGTATATGCTTTGCACCTTCGAAGTGCAAACTACTTCTACAAAACTGGCAGGATTCTAATCCTGTACTCACCCTGGATGGTGAGCAGATAGAAGTAGTCGAGAAGTTCGTGTATCTAGGTAGCTGCATAAGTGCTGGTGGTGACGTGAGTGATGAGATCAATGCATGTATAGTGAAAGCCAGAGCGGCTTATGCCAATCTGGGCCACCTTTGGCGCCTTCGTGATGTTAGTCTGGCTGTAAAAGGTCGGATCTATAACGCGTCGGTGAGAGCAGTTTTGCTCTATGCTTGTGAAACCTGGCCTCTCCGAGTTGAGGTCGTTAGGCGAGTCTCTGTGTTCGATCACCGTTGTCTCCGAAGGATTGCTGACATCCAATGGCAACGCCATGTCAGTAATGCAGAGGTTCGGCATCGTGTGTTCGGGAACAGAGATGATAATTCAATTGGTGTCACCATCTTGAAACACCGACTTCGGTGGCTTGGACATGTTCTCCGAATGTCGTCCCAGAGAATTCCACGTCGTGCATTATTTGCCGACTCTGGGACTGGTTGGAAGAAGCGGAGAGGTGGTCAGTGCATGACATGGTGTCGTGGCATGAAGGAAAGCTGCAAAGGACTGGCTTCTGTCGGTCCTTCACGACTCCCTGGTTGGGGTCTGAGAGATGGTGCTACACAGTGGCTAGAGACGTTATCAGATATGGCTCAGAATAGAAGCCAGTGGCAATCCTGCTGTAACCTTTTACTTTCTTCATAAAAAGTGGTTGTGTCTCCCTTACCTGAAAGATTTCTTCCGATTGTACCTTTGCGTTTCCTGATTACTAGCACATTACCTTACACCAATCTCTTCGTTATTGTTCTCTCTTTTTTTTGTGCTCCTTAGCTTTTTTTTCTTTCTTTGTATTCCTCTTCAAATTTTCATTGTTCTGTGTGGCGCATATATATTGGCGCTCTCTTGTACCAATATTCATGTGTCCAAATAAATAAATAAATAACCTAAACCAAAGGACATGATCATTGCTTTCATAGATGTAGATTCAGAAGTAAAGTGTGTAGTATCAAATACCATTCGAAACACTCGTGTCATCTGATAAAGTCAAGGAAAAATCTCTTCGTGACCCAGTGCTACAAGTTAAAAAGTTCCACCTAAAAGGATGGCCCTCGAAGATCATCTCCATGGAACCTCAAAGGCGCAGACTACGTCAATCATCATTGAGTTCCATTTGAAAAACGTGTTATAGTCCCATGGAATCTGCAACCAACAGTGCTTGAACAACTGCATGCAGGACACCCTGGAATAAATCTCATAAGAGCGTAGAACAAAGTTTTGTATATTGGCCTCACTTAGACACCCAACTGTAGTAGCTTTCACGTTCATGTAACGGATGGACATTAGCAACAAAAGCACTGCAGAATACAGATCTGCAATCATGGCCAATACTACAGTCACCGTGGCAGCGTAAGCACTTAGACTTCTCTGGTCCACTCCATGGACAAACTTACCTTTTGCTAGTTGATGCACACAGCAAGTGGTCAGAAATTCTTCTCATGGAACAACCGACTGCCATCTACGCAGTCAGAAAACTACATTAACCGTTCAGTCGTTTCGGGGTTCCTAAGTTAGTAGTCAGCGATAATAAGACATGGTTTACGTCTACTACCTTCGCAGAATTTTATCAACGGAACGGAATCATTTGTATCCGAACACCTTCATTCTATTTGTGAATCGATAGCCAAATCAAACGCTTAGTTGGTATTACTTAAAAATGCTACGAGAAGATCAAAATGGAAGGAGATCATTGAAGTGATTTTAGAGATGGCCTTTACTCCTATTCTACCTTGTTACTTGGAATATAATTACGTTCCTGTTCAACCATGTTTTGATTTAGAGACTTGTCAAGTAAAGTAGTGTCCGGAGAAAATAGCTTCTTGACAGTTCGAAGCCTAATTGTCATGTAGACAATGAAATAACACGGTTATTTGGGTTATTCATAAACTCGTGGCATTACCACCGATTTATAATTCATGTAGTCTTATGGTGTGGTATTTTCGAGGCTGGACTGTCAACTGCTTGGTTCAAAACCACGTTTAATGTCAATTTTTGCCATCATATGATATTTGTTTCACTTTTTCAAAGCCACACACAACTCGCTACATCGTTGTCACTTTACATTACTTGTTGTTGTCATTGTTTTCATATATTACATGATATTATGCAGGAATCTATTTTGCCTTGGATTTAATGCATGTGTGACATTTTTAATGATTTCAGATATGGTCAACTCAGGTGTTGTACTTATTGGGGAAACTCGATCTCTTCTTGCCAGCCTACCTCAAAGTATATTAGATTTGTTTACACAGAAGTTGACATTTGGAATGTTAAATGAGGCTCATCGTTTGAGGTAAATTTACCGGTTTAAAATTAAGCTTGCTAGTTGTTTAGTCGACAAAATTATCTAACTCTACAGATAACGTAACCTTTTCAACTGATGGTTATGTCGCATCTTAAACATCTCTTGCTTAGTAAAATGTGTTCACTATCATCATCCTCAAACTGGTGCCTTGTTAAGTGCTACACATTATCTAATAGTAATAACTTCATGCTTTTTGTCTGTGGGACTTCCTAGATTTCCATAGATGGACTGGGCGCAGCGCTGCACAACCTGTTCAGAGGTCCTCACGAAAAACACCTCTTAAAATTTCATAGAAATAAAATTGTTGAATGAAAGTGGTTTCTCAGTTAATTGCTGTTTGCTTGGGTCTATTTTTCACTCCGCCACTGTTTGATCACCTTGAGAAATATCTATATTATACCCCTGCCAAATGTCTATCATCTTACTGTGTGCATTTTTTTTAGTTTGCCGTATTGTTCAATCACTTTATTAGTGATATTCATCAGCTTATGCTATGATTTTTAAGTTTGATGAAAGGAAGTCAGTCACGTTCCGGTAACTGTTTCATTTGATAGAATACATTTAGGGTAAATGTTTAAATCGAAAGCTAACATTACACATTATATCATTCAATCACTCATTGGTGTATCTCCCTTAATTTGTGAAGAAAGAGTTTATGTGTTATATTATAACTAAGTCCCGGTCCTCTAGAACAGTTTTCTATATGCCCCAGAAACAATATTTACGCATTCATACCGACACATTCTCGTTCCATTCAATTGATTGTTCAGCAATGATCCATAGTGTCACAATTTAGTCTGTACACGATCGATCCTTAAGGAATCCAGCATGTTGATCTCCAAGTTGGGCGTCTACCGAATCTTTCATCCGGTTCAGCAATACTCCATTTAAAACTCTTCCTTGATACTGACAGTATTGTGATGACTCCGTAGTTTTCAAATTTGCTCAGATCCCCTTTTTTTGTTATCGCGATAGGATATCCTTCTTTCCAATCTTTCGGCACTTCCGAAATCCGATTTGTATCTCCTCATTCCCGTTGCTATTTGACTGGTCCTCCCAGTCTCCCACATTGTCCGGACGTTCCATTTACCTATTAAACTTGTTGCTGTGGTTGTTAGAATGGGCATCGGCCCTGTGGCTTCCGAATCCTGAGGCGTCATAATTCTTCCTCCAACTTGAAGGGCAGAGTTTAAATAGTTTAATTCGTTCATTCTGGTTGGTGTTTTTCAGCAAGATTTTCTTCTACGGGATAGGGTTGCAGACCCCACACTCAACCCTGCTCCTTTGTGTTGGCTTGAGACCGGCAGTAGCCCTAAAGGAGCCACAGGTGGAGTTGAAAAGTAATACGCGCCACACTAAATATTGCGTGTGCGTTAGATTGCTGCATGGAAGCCTAAACCAAAACAGCTAGCTCCCTTAGGAAGCCATGTCTCATGACTCTTCTTCAAATGTCTAATTCAATATGTAGTGGAACAATATCATGAGATGCTATCGTATGGTAGTTGATGACCAGGAATAGATTCACACGCAATTCGTTCCCTCTGAGTTTTGGGGCCTATGAAAATTACTAGTTTAGAATCAGGATTTACCAACTCACTTGAGTATACCCTCTGTATTCACCAGCGCCATTCATTCTTTTTTGTCCTTTCAATTCCGTAAATAATACTCTCATCGCGTGGAAGCACTTAGTAGAGCTTACAAAGGCATGATCGTACGCAAGCATTCCCAGTAGCAGATCGAGCTCTTCTCACTTTCGGTCTGTGCCAAGACAATTAGAGGCCAGTGTCGGCTGGCACTGTTTTCTCATCATCGTTTTGGTTTCAATCCATTCATAATATATTGTCTACTTCTGCTTTTGTCATATTAGATTGTTGCAGCAGTACTTGTTAGATGATACTGATTTTATTATTTCACCGAAACCAGTAAGTTCTAATTCCAATCAACTACAACTCAGTGAAAACTTAACATGTCTTGAATTAGCCCGTCGAACACCTGGTTATGAAATCGGAGATTTAATTCGTCTGGTTGCCCATTTAAAAATGGCTTGTTTAACAAGTAAACTTAATGATGTTAACGATGATGATGATGTTGATGACAACTTGAATAATCTTGATACTAACAATATGGTGTGTGTCAAGAATGGTCAAAAAGTGCATGTTAATTTCTCCATTGAGTCGCGTGTCGCTGATAACTCTGTTTCGGTATGTTTCCTCATGTATATCATTTGTTTTAATTGGGTTGTTTCTATGGAAAGGTAGCTCTTCTTAGATTTTTTGTAGCTGTGGTTTTCTGTAGTTAGTCAACAACAACAACCCTCGGTTTACTGCTTATTAATACTATTCGCTATTACTCTTATACAACCTTTGGTAGATTTACAGTTCATCTTAAGTGTATGCTCATACTGCGTTAGGAGATAATGTATTAACTCTCTGTGTCACTTCTGACGTCTGTTCATAAAATATAGTTTGCTAGATACATAACATAACATTTGTCTATAAAGTATTTGGTATCGTTAATTCACTGAGATACTTGGTCGTAAGTAACTGGATATCATTTTTTTTACGTTGACCAGGTGTCATAACTCTACGCCCGAACTTATTTTTAATACACTTTCTACAATTTATTCAGAACCAATGATCTATAATGGGACTAGTTTCGTTTTGTTTCACCAAGCAGACATACAGAAATTCTTCTTCCCTTATTTATGAGGTACTCAAAATTGAGATACTTTTTATACATTTTACAAAACAAATTGCATAGATGTCAAGGATGCAACAGGAGTTTGCAAATATAAGGTTTTCGAAATGGTCTTACATACGAACTGACTTCTGCTGAAGATGTTCTTAATAGCATGAGATTATTGTTCATTTTAGAATATCTGGTGCCTGAATTCATGTTTGTTTTTCGTATTATTAGTTACAAGATTTTGTGTGCATCTAAACAAGTTTCTGATTCCTGTTAGTAATCCAACTACTTTGAACTAGGTTTCTTAGTGCACCTTATAGTGTGGTCTGCACTACTTATACGGACAGACATAAGTAGTATGTAGCAGGAATTGGAATTTTCACCAGCAGAGAATTAAAACAAAGAGAAGAGCAAAGAAAATAGAGCAATCGGAATAACAACGGGATTAGAAGAATGATGGAGTATGTAAAAGGCAACTGAAGAACGGTATGCAAATGATGTATTTAGTGTATGATTTTCCATAAAACAATAAAGTGGTTTCCCGCCTTCAATTCTCCGTTCACTACAATATTACTGAGTACGATAAGAATAGCATCCGTAGAATACTTAAGTAATTATTTTTTGACCTGTGTTTGCTTTTAATCCATAGGCTATTATTGTGTTTGCTTTCTGTGGTAATTGGAATTCAAAGAGAATATTGTTTGGCTGTAAAAATATTTGAGTAGTTTGTACATCTTTTGACCTAAGCATTTGTAACACGGTTATGTTATTAAGCTAGTCACTTATTAACATAAGTACCATTCTATTTTCAACAAGATTTTCAGGTTAGCTAGACTTGTGATACTCTAGCTGCTAATAGTGTATCCTGTTTTTAATAAATAATTTCCTCGGAAAAAAGTCGAATTATAAATCCGAATTTTTCAGACAAGTTGTATTTTGTACAGAACTTCGATTCGTTTGCCTTCTTTTTAGGAACCAGTCACATATCCTTTAATCGTAACAAGAGAAATTGTTGACAAAGCGTTGGTTGTTGTCATTCCAGCAGTTAAAAATACTGCTGAATTTGTAACTATTCCAGATGTGACGTGGGCTGATGTCGGTGGTCTCGAAACAACTAGACAACAATTGTACAATCGCTTTATGGTGAGAAAATTGATGTTATATCTACGTTTTTAAAACTTTTAATCTTATGTCATATTGGTTATATCTCGAATCGGTCGTCTTGATTGTTTGAAAAAGCTACAAAAATCTAGTAAATTACACCGAATCGTCGCATTTGTAGAATATAAATGAATGAAGTAAGAAATAACTGAAGTCGATCGTACAGGTTTTATTTGTTTATGACATAAAGAGCTTCATTTTCAGTACAAATTGGGTCAGTTACAAGCCTTGGATATTAAACTGCCAGTTTTTCTGCTTGGCAAACATCGGTAATAATTCCAGTCGGTTATACTTATAAACTGCAATAGATTAGCCCCAGATAGTCATAAAATTTTAATTTCTAAGTTTTCGTATCATTTAATTAACTTTAGCCCATAACTGAAAATTGTATAGAAGTTAACTGTATCCCTCTTATATATCACTACCTAATTAGCAAATAAGTAACTAGTTCCTGTTACGAATGTATATAGCTTCTAATCGACGATTGGGAACGCGCTCAGGTTTTGCATCGACGTTCTGGAGGTGTACTACTTGAGGGTCCACCTGGATGTGGGAAAACACTCGTAGCTAAAGCTCTATCCAATCAAGCTGGTCTCAATTTCCTGTCGGTTAAAGGTCCAGAAGTCCTTAATAAATTCCAAGGTGAAAGCGAACGTCGTATTCGAGAAATCTTTGAAAGAGCACGTGCTTGTCAACCATGTCTGATTTTCTTCGATGAAATAGATGCAATCTGTCCAAGACGCGATAGTGATGAATCTACAGGTAACTGAATATTCACTTTCTGGTAGACGTTTTTTTATTATAACAGTACATGTTCCCCCAATCTTTCCAAGTAAATTTGAATTATGAGGTTTCGCCCGAAGTTTTATCGAATAAATACGAAGTATTTCTTTCTTCGCTTATGAATCCTGAGCTTGACGTTGTGTAATTTAGTCATTTAAACATTCGAGTTTTAAATCAACAATTGTCCGAGACTAGGAACATCTAGATTTTTCACTATCATTACAGTCTTAGTAAAATAATTAATAATATGGCAATGAACAAATACATATTTACTCATTTTATGCACTTTTTGCTACTACTAACTTGGAAACACAAAGTTGATAGAGTGACATTCGGATCAGTTAAATGCTTAAATCACTGAGCTACAGCACGCTAGTTGAAAGACGAATGATAGTGTTCATCACTCTCGTCTATTCCCTAGAAAGTTCCGTCAATTCCATTGCAGCTCAATTTTTTTCATTTTGGATGAGCTGTTAACACATACTAACAATCACTTGTATAGGCTTCGGTTATGCTTCAATTTCATCATTCATGTATTTGCGACCGAATTATTGAAAAATTTTTTAAACACAATTTTGTTTAGCTTTTAGTATAAATCCTGAGTGTTGGCGGTTTGTTCCTTGCTTGTTCATAAGTTTTTTGACTTGGTACGTCTAGTATTAAATATAAATGAAAGTAATTTCATTACCTTGATAATAAACACTTTCAATATATTTCGAAACTTCCTTATTAACTGATACATTTCGATCAGGACCAGCAAACTGCGGGTACATTGAGTAACAAAAACACATAAGATACATCGTAAACATAAGCGAAAAAATCGAATGACAAAATAGTTATTCGATCTATATAATAGTTTTAAAGTTTGATTATTATCATCAATATGATTTGATAATCTATGAAAATGTGAAATGAAAAGCAAATCAAATAAATGATTGAACTATCTTTCGTCTACTGTTCATTCGTTCTTCATTCGCTCAAAACCTCGGTTAGATAGTGAAGTTGATTTTTCATATTTTTACCAAGTTCAAAGTACTTGACATAAGTGTGAAGGTGTAAAGTTGTAACAAATTACTTTCAAATATTTCCTGGTTGTAGTATATTTCATGTTCTCTATTTGTGCAAATGTATCAAATTTTAATCATTTATTTTGAGATGATAAAGGTTTCTAACTCAGGAAGAAGGATTTTTGGAGTATTTCACCTTTTTTGATTTAGATAGTAATGACGGAGCGTTCACAGTCTTTCTAGACAACACAATTACGTACTTCGAAAATTATAAACAATTAAGAGCCTAAAGGTCAGGTCAGAGAAAAAGGTGAATAAAATAAATACATGGGAACAGTGAAAGCACAATTATAACCGACAACCAACTAAATCCTGTGTTCACAAAACAAGCTTTTAATTACCAATCAAGAAATTCTAAAAACTCACTCTCCTCTATAATATGTGTTGATGATGTTAAGACTGTTGACTAAAGCTTCAGAATCCTACAATTCAGTCCAAAGGATCCAATCCTGTTTCGGTTTAGGCGCTCAGGCAGCATTTCAGCCCTCGCACAAATGAAATGACGCAAATATATTTGGTGCCTCCTTGTGTTTGAATAAATAAAAGGATCCAATACTAAAATCTCTAATAATCCTCTAAATAAGACAAAACTTAGTCAGTGATCAATGTAGATGTTCTTGCTTAATTTCTGGTTAATATTTTGATGCTTTTTGTAGTTTTTGTTTTTCAATAGCTCACAAGCTGTGAGATTGCTTTTAGTTTCGTTGTAGTTTATAATAACTCTGGAGATTAGTTGTAAATGATTTCAAATGAACTCAATAACCAATTAGAAACAACGAGATTTCGTACCATGTTATCAAGTACAGATAAAGATTTTGTGATAGAGCATGAAACTGTGTCATTGATTTGTGACGTGTAAACTGATTACATTTTAAAAGTTATTCTCAATAGATTTCACTGGAACCTTCCTTTTTGAAATTATGATTTCATTCTTATTGCTTATCCTGATATTCTATCTTCACTTAGGCAGTCGAGTTAGTTTGGTTAATCAGCTTCTGGTTGAATTGGATGGTATTGACAAACATAGATCAGGTCGCGTTTTTGTTGTTGGTGCTACTAATCGCAAAGATATGATTGATCCTGCCATACTTCGTCCTGGACGTCTGGGCTTACATTTGATGATCAACCCACCGTCTAATGTGAAAGAACGTCTCTCTGTTTTATCAGCTTGTACTCGGTCTGCAACTACTCCTCGTATTGAGAATGGTATGCTGTCACTTGAACTCATTGCAAATGATTCACGCACTGAGAGAATGAGGTATTTAAATTTCATGAAACTAATCTAATTTTTACGAGATATTTTCCAATTTTATCCGTTTTAAAGTAATCTAACGTAGTCTATTCTAGCGAATAGTTATGTTGTGTTTATAAGTCCAGAATGTCTATTATTTACTACCACTTTCCAATTTCAAAGCTCACGTGAAAAAGGGTTACAGTCAATACAATTTACACCAAATTTCCAACTATCTAGACATTTTCGATGTGTTCCTAATGAGTTTAAACGGATTATCGTTCCCTTTTACTAAGAAATTGTTCGTCATTGTATTTGTTTATATGTAATTGACAAGTCCACACCGTTACTTTACTTACATCAATAAGACTAAAGATCAGTTACATAAGAATGGCTTACACTAATCTATTACCCTAAGATCCTGTCATTTGACTTATACGATCTATGCAGCATAACAACGGAGAAAAATGCATAGGTTTTCTTGGTATCTTGTGTAACAATGCAAGATTATTTTGATAATTTAATCATGTGGTCGTTACAAAAATCGTGCTTCAGATTTATTTTACAACAACGCATACTTCGACACTAGATTGTCAGTCACTTCATTCGTATTATATTTAATCAACCTCAGTTCGGACAGCATATCAATAGCGACGAAACGAGCAGACTAACGTACAGCCAACATTTTTTGCTTGTTTGTGTTCCAGTATTAGGCTCGCATCATAAACATCAGTTCAACATTTCCAATATTGATGTATTAAGGGAAATAATGAATTAGAGTATATCCTTGCAAGATTTCTTTTTCAAGATAAAAAATATCCTCTTTTGCTTCAACAACACATTTCTTCGTTCTTGAAATTTCAGCGGTGCTGATCTAGAAAATTTATTGGAATTAGCTAAGCAGAAGGCTCAAATTGCAAGACAAGATTTTGTTTCACAAGCCAACTTACTTGATGCATTATCTGAGTTACATAAATAAACAACACATCCTATTGTTAATATAATTTCTGAACTTAACTTATACTGGAATATGTATTCTGTTACGAAACATTTAGTATTTTTGCGACTTGTCATACTTTCAGAGGCTACTATATATATACTTATAACGACAAAACATCAAAATGGAATATGTATCTAAAATGAATATCAGTTAACTCTTTCACTTTTTTAAATAGATAGGAAAGAACTAGACATAAACTGTACGGATGTATAAGACAGATATTCACTCTATTTATCATCAGTAAAAAGTGTGATTTGCAATGCTGGACATAAGGAATTTGGTCGCTGTCTTGTTTATCTCTCAACACATTGTGCACCACAGAATAAATTTAAATGTGAAATATTATTTGAAACAATTAGTCCCTTTGATAACTTTCGATGATGCAATGAGAAGACGAAGTTTATCAGAATTATGTGATTTATTTGCGCAATACATTTCGAACAGCCTGATCACACATGTACTTGTTGAGACATGTTTGTATGAAAACGAAAACGTCAACTAAACAAATTAGATGTAAGCCAAAACAAATAAAAAAAATAAAGTACACAAAATCAATGTGATAACCACTCTGGATAATAAATCAGCATTACCAGGGTAGGTTCAATGTAAGGACAAAGTGTTTTCGAACGCATAAAGGCAGTTTCAGTTTCGGCATAGCCAAGGCTTCAATTAACCTTAGTATACGTCCTTGAAGGTTTTTATGCAACACTACAAATGCTGACTTGATGTCAACCTTATGACCAGTCTCAATCATATGTTTCAGAATGAAGGATGATGTCTGTCTATCCTGTGATCTTAGCTGACCACTGCAATTCATTTGTTTCTGCAGCCATTTTCGTATGTGTTCACCCACCTTTAATTGCAAATCACGATTGCTCCTCCCTATGTACGTGTTTCCGCACACATATGTAAATTGATAGATACAATAAGGTGTGACAACGTACAACGTTATTTCGTTTCTCATTGAAAAGGAATTTAATCTTATGGTACAAAGGCGTACAACAAAGCGGATCACAAAATTGAGGGACAAATAAAAAGACAGACTTCACGAGCTAGTACTGTCCTTGCTGGGCTATTTAATACTTATGAACCATTTAGTGATTTTGTACAGCTTACTGAGTGGTTCACATCTTGTATAAAATAATTCTCCCCGTACCCCACGATTACACTTCATGAAATACCTAAGAACATCAATTACTCAGATGAAGTCCAACGTCATCACAAATGCTCTATTCGGTTTAGAACGCTCCACTACCCTATGTGATACAGCGCAATCATCTACTATCCCATTCCGTCTCGATTAGCATAAACAGCAGTTTTACCACGTCTCGAATTCCTCAATTTACTCTTGAAAACTAGCTAACTCACATTTTTTAAAATTAGTTTTTTGTGGATAAGATCTTTGGTCAATAAAATGTCTGTCCGTCTCTCATCAGAATATTTCCACAAATGTTAAATTTCAGAGTGGCATCAACACTAGTATGTAGTAGTGTCTTGTATTCTTCGATCATACATGAATGAACAAATCACGCAGTCTGAAATTTAGTCAGTACGTGGGATTTGAATCTGTTGCTGGAAATATACTTGCACTAGTGAAAACTGAGAACACCATTCATGCACAAAACATCCAATCCAATCCGCTTCAATTAGCATGTTAGGGAATGTCTGTTTCTAGTTTGCAGAGAGAGTAATCAATCTATCAACCTGTTTAGTAGATATTTTCATGACCTACTCAAGAATAGTAATCACCAACATTGAGATGGTGGCGCAGATTTGAAGCCCCACCAAAATCAAGATCATTCCCACACTACCTGTAAGCGGAATTACAAAGAGCGCTGAATCTTCCTAATCAAATATCTTGATCAGCATTATCTAGACGAATATTGATAATAATTTTTTTTAAATTATGGGAATGCGATAAAAATCTCTTAACATAATTCTTCCTTCAAGATAATTGTCTGCTTGATGGTAATTTTCATCTGGAACTGGTCTTCTGAACATTCAAAGAGCAGTGAATAACTACTTCAACCACAATCACAGCCCTTGATTGATTTTTGAAATTCACTTAGCGCGGATCGAGTTCCTCTGCGGATTTCCTTAGATAAGCTACCATCCATAGTTTATTATCCTAGTGGTGTTCATCAGTTTTCTGTTGGAGGCAATTTGCCCCGTCACTTCTAAGGATTTTATTCCCAACTAACGTTGCTAATTTCAGATGACTACTGAACTCGGGCAAAACATTTTACAAAAGAGCGGTTCACAAATATTCCAATACTAATTTCAGTAGTTGATTGTATAATCCACTCGGAATTTGTGTCAGTCATAAAAGGCGATGAAATTTGGACTTACCTAACTGCTGTAAAATCTCTAACCATACAGCATGTCGATGCTCGCTGTCCGACTTAATTCACATAGTAGTTTTCCAACAAAGTCCTTTTATTTTAATCTAGATTAAACAATCACAAAAGGTATGGAATACAGTCCACAGCAAAAATAATAGTCTTTCCAACTAGGATGTTATTTTAAAACTAGTTGTTGGTTTACTTATGGATTATTGTTGTGAACAGATGATTCCAGAAGCAGTTAGGAATTACCAATTTTGTATACAGAAGCTTATATTGCGTACGATAAAAACCCCTTGAGTAGACTATTCCTATGTTACTATACTTATCAGTAATTGTGAGATGTCCACTGTGTAAAGCCGTAACGTTTTGTAATGTGCCCAAAAATACGGGAGATTCAGTTTACAGAAGCCTGGGATTCAAAAAGTTTTAGGCTTTCAAATGATATGATTTACTGACTAATACTGAGATAATTTAGTATGTGGACAACCCAGAGTAACCATCTGTATGTTTTGCGTCTTTCGTACGTTAATGTCTCAAGTGAACACAATGTAATAAAAAGTGAACAGTGATAATCAACTTTATAATCAAAGTTTTATAGGAATTTACAAAAAGATAATTTTGATAAAATAACTCGTAAAAATGTATTTAGAGATTATAATATACACATCAACCAAATTATCTTGGAATTATGTTAATCATGGGGAATTAGATCAAAACGTGAGTTCTATGTTAATTCGATAAAAATGAATGATGCTAAAAATTTATGATAAATGATGAGCATTCCGTCAAACACTTTTAAGAGCTAAATATTAGGATAAGAATTGGACAACAGTAAAGAATGAACGACAACAGGCAAGCGTGAAAATGGTATGGTTAATGCATGCACCTGGACAATGTTCCGTTCAGTGGTATTAGTACAACGAAAGAGATGAAGCGTCCTCTTGATTATCATTATAATTTCTCAGAAGTGTATAACGCAGTTAGTGGGATCAAAATAAAACTGTAAAACAAATGGCGATTTGTAATAATTGCATCCTAGGTGAAAACACGTTCCCGATACTATAATGTTGACATTTTGCATTAGAAAGTAGTGTTGTATTGAGAGTTATACGATCAAGCGATCCGAGCAATTGTCTAAACCCAACTAGCTATTGCCGAGTGTCGTTGTCCTATTTTTTCAAAATATTCGAAGTGTTTACGTGCATTTCGAATACTCAGCAAAGTCGCGGAGGGCGCTGAAGGGTTTTTATAAGTATTAAGTTAAAACAATCAACCTATAACCGGATTACATCAGATAGAATTCAGTTAAAAATTACTATTTAACTACTATAATTAAACAAAGATTCTTTTTACTTGACATTCACTTGTGATTATTTACAAAATTTGTAACTATGACAAAATTAGGGACGGTTATAGAAAATAGAGGTGATCCACAATCTTTTAGTATACGTTGTGAAGTTTAAATCGAAGAAACAAGTTGCCGAATTCCATAATGTCCGTAAAGAGCACAAACACGTTAAGATCTAAATGTTCCAGACTAATATAAACAGAATTAACCAACATATTTACATGCAATAAATGGTCGGTGACATTCCTCATGGGCTGTACATTTGGTATCTAGAGTTCAACTTATGCATAAAACGTAGAATGTGATTAATAAAATCCAGATACAGTCAATAGATGTACATTGACTGAAAGGTGGATAAGATACAAAACTTGATTTTACCAGTTACTGTAAATTCAATGCTTCTGATAACTGTTTAAATAAGGAATATTGTTCATAAAACCCAAGTTTATTTCATTAAACCCATAAAAGTGAAGCGTGAGATGTTCCTTCCTTTACAAAGAATCAATTGACTCATGATCTCAACCACTGAAATAAATTAAAGGTTCATATTGGAAAATTTCTGAGCATAACACGTGATAACAACAATGTCGGTTATGATCGTACTTGCAAGTGTATGCATGTCGTCCATCACGTCACTATTGTTAGATTTATATTACAGGTTAGCGATCCAACCCCGAAAAATTACATAAGATTAGTAGACTAGTGTGAAGCTGTGATTAACCAATGATTTGAATTGTTTGGCTGTGAATCGAAGGATTAGGTTGCGCAGATTGCAACCGCGCAAATAAACTCACACACTTACGTAGTACAACGAAAACTACTTAATATAAATTACCATCGATTAATAAAGAATAAGAATAGTGATAAACGATGAAGCTAAGAAATACTATGAACTCCACAAACATACCGACGAATAAATCAGAGCACACTACCATAATCTATGTATTAGATGTAAAAACGTTAATAAATGCAGCAAAGTACTGATTGTGTAATTCGATCTTCGTGAAATTCGCTGAAACTTTACTACACGAGAGTTTGAATTGTTTCACAATGTTGCTTATCTCTTCAAATCAAAATTATGAAGTCATTATGAGAATTCAATACTGATCACTTACCTATATAGATATAAATGTGGAAAGCTAGGGTGGCAAGCGACCTTTAAAATGTTGCTCTTTCAAACAAAACCACCTCATCAGCTTCGAGTACATCACAAGGTTGCTTTGAACTAAGCTTCAACGTTTTAATACTTGGAATAAGTTCATGATCAATTTTAGACCAAGCTTTAAATAATTTTTCATCACATATAGATATAGTAAAGCATGAATAAGTACATGGTTTTGTAACTGCTTCAATATTTTTCTAATTTGAAATAACTGTTACATACACATGTGGTAAGATTAACGTCTTTTAAAAAAACAGCTCAATGTTAGACAGTAAGGACTAACTAAAATATTCTTTTAGAACAGTTTAACCAATGAACATTCTTGTACCACAAATAAGAAAATTCAGCAAAAAACTGAAGGTATTTTCCATTATTAAATAACCTTATCTAAAAGTAAGCAGGAGATCATGGAACTCTAAAGTAAATCACTCCGTAACAGTAAAATCCGCGGAGAAATGTTAAAAACTCACGAATGACCTCTACATCCAACATTCAATCTAGCTTCTAGATCAACTCAATAATATTATTTCATTTTTTATAAACGGAAGCCTGTACATAATAAACTAGCGTTTGCAGACATTAAATCAGAAGTTTCTGTTGGTCAAGTAATAAGGGTCGGACGGGCTGACGATTTGTTGCAAAAAACGTTTGCATTGGCATGAATA